GCTGCAGCGTGCAGGCATTGAACAGACTTTTTTCATACAGACAGTTGCTGCTTTTTAAAGAAAACAAAGCATGAGCAAATCGAAGGAGTGCAAAACCAAATAAGAGTCAAAATAATTTACATGACCAAATAAAAGTCAATGAATTTTAGTGGCCAAACCAGTGCCCCTTATCAGGGCTTAAAATCAAGTAAGCGCTTAAGTGGACTCTGGTCACAGACTCTGCAAAAATGACCTGTGAGAAGTTATTTCTGGATGGATTAGGAAAAAAAATAAATCTCAGAGATGATGTCTAAGAAGCGTTGGCTAGCAATAAATGCTGATATATATTTCTATCTATATAGTGTGTGTGTGTGTGTGTGTGTGTGTGTGTGTGTGTGTGTGTGTGTGTGTGTGTGTGTGTGCGCGCGCGCCGTATTAGTCCAGTAGACAAAAAAGTATGTAAAAAAACCCCCAAAAACGTAGTATTGCAGTGTGCAATACTACCTTTCTTATCGGACTAACAAAATATATAAAAGACAAGTTTTCGAGAGTGAACCTCTCTTCTTCAGGCCAGAAGCAATACTAATCTATATGAACTGCGCCAATAAGCAAACTAAGAGCTACAAGGCACTTGAATGTACACCCACTGTGAGTGTGTATACGTGAAAAATTAATAACTAAATGTGCCGAGCTACAACAATGAGCAATACAAAAAAATCTAAACTAATCAGTGACTCAAACAAATGTCCGTGAATAAAAATGGATCAGGTGTAAAGTCTTTACATTTTTATAACTCTGAAAATGCCCATATATAGCAATAGTGATTTGAATATTTCTTGTTCCTTCACCAAATGCACCACACCAGATATAGGGGTGCTCACCTTATTGATGGACATCAACAAAAGGTCAAATCAGGCAATTCCCTTCTTAACCAGGGGAGCGGGCCCTCAGCTCCAATCGCTCACAGATGTCCTCAAGTGGTTTAATCAGACCAGCAGACAGATCTGTATATCACTTCTTTAGTGTGGAAACAATAACCTCCAATTTTATCGATCTGTAGGCCTCCTCAATATAGGATGTCAATACCAGGATCGTGTTATCCAAAAAAAGAAAGCAAACACCATAACGCATAGCATCCAAACAGAGTATGATTTATTAAAAGAAAATTACTCCCATAAAAGCAGTGGTAACATAGCATGAAATCTCTCTTAGGACGAGCATTTGACGTCACATTGATCTCTATGACTATGACGTACACCGCCCTACGCTCAGCCGCCCTGCCCGTCCGTGCGGGTGAGCGTACTCGTACGCTGACAGGATGGATCCTGTCTGCATCCAAGCTGGGACACGCACCCGTACGGACTTGCACTTGAGGTGAGCGTAGGGGGGCGTATGGCCGTGTAGTCCCATAGAGAAGGACAGGGGCTGCTTACTAATCACACGCAACACCTGTCCTTCCAGGAGCTGCCCGATACGGCCGTCCACGCAGCACGGAGCTGTATGTGCCGGCCGATTCCCGTGTGAATGAGGGGTAAACCACATCACTGTGTGCTACAATGCATGTGTTGCCTTGCAGTGCATTAAACATCTTTATTAAAATAATAGGCTGAAAAGGCAAAAACGGGGCTGGCTGCACAGCACAGGACACATTGAGGAGAATTTATCAAAACTGGAGTAGGTAGAATCGGCTTAAATCTTTCATTTTCAAAGCTTAAATGAACAAACTGAAGTAGGGCAGTAACGAATTGATTAATCGATAGAGAATAGTCAATGTCAACATTTTCATTATCGATTAGTTGGTGTGGATGCCCTAGTTCTCATGTGCGCTGGGAGCCGGTGTTTCATTGGCTGTGTCCCCCCCCCCCCACCCCCTCCAATCCCCGCTGCTCCCAGTGGGGATCGGAGGGGACACAGAACCCTGGACACAGTGGTTAGGAGAGCTCCCCCAAACCTGCCACCACTGCCGCATCAACTGCAGTTCTCTCATGCCCACTGCATGCTGCAGTCTGTGTCTCTTCCGATCCCCACTGCTACCCTCCGCCTGTTTCGGCAGAGGCTGCAGGGATCGGAGGGGACTCGGAGCCGATCCACCTGCTGGCACCCATAGGGGAGGAGAAAGCTGTGGGGAGCAAAGCTACCGGATGATCGCCAAATATGTGAGATACAAATATGTAATCAAACTTCGCAGTGATCAGTACTCATCACTACAATGTTTGTAAATAATTGAGGACATAATATTCACGTACATCACTTCCTGTTCATTCATGATTGTGAACGGTGTTTACTATCCCCCCCATTTATGAAATAACAGGAAGCATCTGTACGAACAGCTTCCTGTTAATTCAGTGCTGAGCCTGCAGAAAAAGAGATTGTGTCCTCCAATCTTTTTCTATTTTAAAAGGGAAATATCAGGGGTCTGTTAACTCCTCCTCTAATTTCCCCAAATCCCCTAACCGTAAAGCTAAAAATAAAATGATCAACGAAATCTTTAAAAAAGTTAAATAAAAGTCCACCCTCCCCCAATTATAAAAAAAAAGTGGGAGAAAAAGTCATTTTAAGTTTGTCTACCATGGTGGTACTGAAGGTGCGTTGCAGTGCCATTCCTTTCAGTGGCACACCAAACGCGTCTTCTGCCCGCAGTGCGATTGCCTGCACCAGAACATGCAGTACTCTCAATGCCGTACATTCCACTGCGGTGCTATTGCAAAAAATTGTGCTTGCAGTTTTATTCTGAAGTAAACGTTGTAATACTCAATTTGTGTATTTTATTTTAAATTAAGGATGGTCTTTAAAGGAGAACTATGGGGTTAAGGCTTTTCCCCATAGTTCTCCGGGTAGCGGGAGGACACAAACTAGCGTCACCCTAGGCTCAGTATACCGCGAGCTGCAGCTATACTAAGTATAGCTGCAGCTCGCGCGGTATACTAAGACGCTGAAGCGGATCCCGACAATTATGTCTGGATCCGCCCAGCTCCGTGACTGACAGCTGGCTCTGCCTGGAGGCAGAGCCAGCTGTACCCACCCCCTCCCCCGTCTGTTCCGCCAGTCAGCCCTGGCGGAGGGGGGAATCCAGCCCCTCCCTATCACGGCTGAGAGCCGTGACAGGATCGAGAGGTGAGCGAACGCCGGTATCGCTCACCTCCCGATCTACTGAGCCGACCTGTGACAGTTTCATTGTCACAGGTCGGCTAGAACTATGAGGTGAGTGAAAAGCACTCACCTCATAGTTCTCCTTTTTTTAATGTTGTTGTTTTTTGTTTTTTTTTATCTGATCGGAAAAATTATTGGCCAACTAATCGACTATAAAAATAATCCTTAGTTGCAGCCCTAATTCGAAGAGAAGAGCTGATTGGTTACTATGGCCAACTGCTCCAGATTCTGTCTGCTCCAGTTTTGATAAATCTCCCCTCAATAATGTTGTGCTGCAAAGCGTTTCAGCATGCATGTGTTTTTATGGTGTGTTAGGGTACCATTCACAATGAATGGCACTAGCGCTGCAACTAATGATTATTTTCATTGATTAGTTGGCCGATTTTTTTTTTTTTTTTCTCGCTTTAATTGGATTAAAAAAATTGAAATACCATCTTTAATTTAAAATAAAATGCACAAATGCAGTGTTACAAGCATAAAGTTTACTTTAGAATAAAACTGCATGCACAATTTTTTGCAATCGCACTGCACTGGAACGCACAGCATTGCGTTACCGTGCATTTCATTGCGGGCCATCATGCTGTGGGTGGGAGGCGCGTTTGGGGTGCCATTGAAATGAATTGCACTGCAATGCACCTTTTGCAGCAGAATTTGTCAGGCCGAAACCAAAAATTACTTTTCCACCTTTTTTTAAATTTTTTATTATTTATGCAGCTACCAGTGACAAGATTACGCAGACGGCAGCTGAATGTAAATACAGCAGGTAGTGGGCTGGAGCAATAGCCAGCCTGCTATTGGTAATTTCAAACTGCTTTTGGCTAGCCATTGCATCCGTCCACTGCTTGCTTTGCCCTCCTCCCAACATAGAGAAGAAAGCTAGGGGATCCAACAGACTAATCAATAATGAGAATAGTTGATAATTATTCTCATCATTGATTGTTATTGATTGATTAGTTGCTCTCGGCTACCACAGTGCATCATTGCTGTAGCATATGCATTATCTGTGCAAACTGATGTGAATGGGCCTTAAAGACTTGACCCACATATTGTTTTGATGCACCTGGAATGTATTTAGCGAATTTACCTGAAAGTTCATTTGGGCTTTAAGCTGGCTATAGACAAACAAATACCTCACTAAGAATGATGATTGACAGCAAGACCAGTGAGATGATAAACATTTCTTACATGCAGTGGAAGCACTTTTGTAGGGCCGTATGCCATACGTCCTTGGCAGCGAAAGGGTTAAAGTGACACTTAACTCAGGTGTTAAACCTTAAAATGCAATATTAACAAATATGTAGCTTATTTGTTTATCAATAGGCTGTAGATTCTCAATTCAACTCTGAAGTCGTGCTGACCCCTTCCTTCCAGGGGGGTGGCTTCTTTTGCTCCCCATGGTCCCTGTGTGTGCTGTAAAGTAGCCACCAAGCTCACTCCTGTGAAAGACTATAACTTCACTACAAATTCGTGAACTAAACGTGAGATTGTAGTCCGTCACGGGAGCAAGATTGGAGTGGTGGCTACTTTACAACACACAGGGACCATTGGGAACAAAAGTAGTCACCCTCCAGAAGGAAGGACAGTCTGAGCACAAATTCAGAGATAATTTGAGAATCTACAGCGGAGTGATGCACAAATAAGCTACAATTTTGTTAATGACTGTGGTACTTGAATGCACTTTTAAGGTTTAACACCTGAGTTTAGTGTCGCTTTAAGTGCCTCCCTAGAGTAACCCTACACATGCTGGGTTGCATCCCATCTGGCACATTGGATTCCTGTTTTTGGGCACTATTGGGCTAACAAAAATGTTCTTAAACTGAATGTGATTTCATTATTTGCAAATTTTCAAAGTTATTACATCTGTTTTACAGGGAGCAGGAACTCTGAGCCATGCAGTCCTTCCGAGAACAAAGCAATTACCACGGCAGTCAGCAAACCTATCCACCAGAAGCTCATGGCACTTCAAGGATAGAAGAGTACAGCCCTAGACAGCAGGCACAGATGTTTCAAGGTAGCTATGGTGGACGCCGAGGTGCAACAGGCACCCCTACTACAGTGACTCCAGGAGAAAATTCCAGCCTACAAAGTTACCCAGCTTATCGTAAAGAGTCTGGAGACTTCTATTACTTGGGCAACAAGGAAGGAAGTGCAGCTGGGAGTCAGACACCCCAACGTCGACCTTCAGGACCTGTACAGAATTATGGACCACCACAAGGAAGTAATAGTAGTGGTAGCACAGGCTTTGGGGCCCATTATGGGAGAGAGGGACATCACAGCCAGTTTTCAAGTCAGCATTCAGCAACTGCCAACATTTCCCAATACTCACAGGATTTTCCAGGATCATTTTCTCCTAGTGGAGGACAGTATCCATCTCATGTTCCTACCCAGCAACTGAGACAACAGCTTTATCAGTCTCATCACCCCATTTCTTCTCAATCTGCCAACACATCAGCATCTACTGGGGCATCACATCTGCAGCAAATGCAGCGCTCTGCTGCAATTAGCTCTTCAGTTGGATATCCGCTAAGAATGGGTCAGTATGGGCAACATTATCAGTCTTCTGCAGGGTCTTCTACTTCCTATCCCCCTCAGAGGTTTGGACAATCTGGAGCAAACTATGAAGGCTACAGCCCAGGAGGTACAAACTCTCCATATGAGAGTCATATATCCGGATCGTCATATGGCACCCAACAAGGGTTTAGCAGTTACAGCCAGCATTTAAAAAACTTTGAATCAACTAAAATTGCACAGGGGGGGAATCAGGGACAGCCACAGCAGAATCCTCATGTAATGCAATTCTCAAACACTTCTAAATTAATAACTCAAAGCCAAACAGGACCGTTCAACCAGTCTGAAGTTCCTGTGCGATCACCTATGCAGTTCCAGCAGAATTTCAGCCCTATCTCCAACCCATCTCCAGCTGCTTCAGTTGTGCAATCGCCAAGCTGCAGTTCCACACCCTCCCCTTTGATGACTAGCGGGGAAAATCTTCAGTGCAGTCAAGGAAATGTACAACACCCATCCAGAAATCGTATATTGCCAATGATGCCCCAACTGAGTCCTAACACACCAATTGGGAGTTATAAAAGTTTTGGAGTGGAAGGTCAACCAGATAAACGTTTAACAGATCCAGGTCTGAGTAGTCTTAGTGCACTCAGTAGCCAAGTAGCTAACTTGCCTAACACGGTTCAGCATATGCTACTTTCTGATGCTCTGGCACCTAATAAGAAGGGGTCTAAACGAACTTCTAGGAAGACGGACAGCTGTGCCAATTCGGAAACTTCATCCCAAGCTGAAGAGCAACTAAAGTCTCCAATGACTGAGTCTTTGGATGGCAGCTGCTCTAGTAGCTCAGGAGATCCAGGTGAAAGGGTAAGGCAGCTTAGTGGACAGAGTACCAGCTCAGAAGCAGGATATAAAGGACCTCCTTCAGAAAAGCCAGCATCACCTGTCCAGGGTTGGCAGAATGAACCTTTAGAAAAGTTAGCAGATCAGGATCCCGATACAGTTTCTGAGCCTGTAGAGTCCTTCCAGGAAGTACCAAAGCCGAGTGAGAAGTCAGTGGGGGTAATTGTTTCAATGGAAACCATGACAAACAGGTTAGAGAAGGTAGTTGATGAAGTTTCGAAACCAGTTGATGATTTGCCAGTAGAGTCTAACTTGCCTAAAACTGAGGAAAAGGATGACAGTTGCTCTAACAACCAGAATGGAGAATCTAGTGCTTGTGATTCTGTGTCTGCTGCAACAACCAATGTATCACAAACGGAATCTGTTAGATCTCCTGGTTCTGGGTTTGGTATAAAGGAAGCATCCACAAGTACCAAATTTGCCACCAATTTGCCTCAAAACACAAAAAATGTAGACAGTGCAAATTTTGGAGCTCAAGGTGATCGAAAACCAGGAAGAAATGAGAAGATTCCCAGCTTATTACAGGAGGTCTTACAAGGCCATCATCAGCAGGAAGGAAGATACGCAAGAAGCACACAGGAGCATCCAGCAGGTATGGGAAATTCAGAAATAGTATTAAGATCCAATGTTCTCACAAGCCAGGCAAATGAGCAATCTAATCGGAACATTCTTGGGAAAAATGCAGCCCCTCATTTAGAAGCACCACACTGGGGTCAGTGGGAGAGAAAATCTACTTTAGAAGCGAAACCGAAAAATCTAGATTTTCCTACAGCCAGAAAGTTTGAGGCAGAAGTGTCAACCTCATCCCACGAATCGAGTAGTGGTCCATCTGAAAGAAGGTCTGTTATTTGTGACATCTCCCCATTAAGGCAAATTGTACGAGAACCCAGTGGTTCTCATCTTCTTGGCACTGCACAAGAAAGGCCACCAGATGGCAGACCTGGACTGTCAGTTATCCTACCTAGCGGAATGTTAGCCTTAGAAAAAACCAATTGCTTAGGTGGTATAGCCAAAGGAGATGATGTTGAGACCCCAAAAATGCACAGAAAGCAAACAGGAGAGCACTGCATGCTATACAGCACCAAAGATTCTATCAGAGGAAGTGCCAGTCCAAGGTCTATGACATATGATCCAAACCAGGACTATAATTCCCACAATAGTCGAGCTTCGAATCCTAAAAGAGGGACTGGAAGGGTAGGCTCTAGAGGGAGATCACCTGCACAAACTCATGATCTAAGTGATAAGTTGAAAATGTCTCCAGGCAGAAGTCGAGGTCCAACAGAGATTCCTCACATGAATCCAACAGTGAGTCTTTCAGAGCGAGCAAGCAGAGAAGCTTTATACTCTGCTTTTTTTCAGAATACAGATAGCTCTACCTTAGGTTACCATACAAATTCTAGAGCAAGTTCATATGGGGAACCTCATCCAGCCTTCACTTCTCCTTTGCATTACAAAAGACAGATGTACCAACAAGAAGAATATAAAGAATGGCTGGGAAGTTCAGCCCAAGCTATACTGTCAGCCTCACAACATCGTCAAGAAATGCAGAGGAAAAGTCCCAGGCAGGAACCATTCCATGTTCGCAGTCCAGGTAGAAATGAAAGTGAGGGATTGGGTTATAATCAGTCAAGCTCATACCATAAACCCAGCAAAATAGACTATAGTCGACAACTGCGCATGAGTGAAGGCACTTCCTCTAACATGATAAATGTTGAGATGAAACGAAATAGCCAAAAGACTCCTTCTGGAGACTCTACTAGTTGGCATTTGGTACACCAAGCTTCTCCAGCAAAGAAGGTAGGATCTCCAGTAACTACAAATCAGAAGCCATTCAGCCCAAAAAGGGAATCTGATCCGCATATTAGCAGATCTGTAGAATCAACTGAGCTTCCGCAACAAGGTTGCTGTGTGCATCGGCCAACAGGCTCTGAGGAAGCATCACACCATAACCCTCTAATTATGAGAAGAAGAGTACGTTCCTTTATTTCTCCAATACCCAGCAAAAGACAGTTTCCTGATGATAAAGTAAGATCTTCTGCTTTAAAAGATGGTGCTGATAAAATACCTTCTGCACATGTGGTGTCACCAATGGATGCAAATACTGTGTTTTCAGCCATGACCGAAGAGTCAACCAAATCTATTTCTGAAGAGCGAAGTCACACTGCAGTATCACTTTCAAGTCCAACAAAAACAAAAATTCTGCCACCCCGCAAGGGAAGGGGCCTCAAGCTTGAAGCTATAGTGCAAAAAATTACTTCTCCTAATATTCGTCGAATTACTACTCCGTGCACTTCAGAAAGTTCCACTGAACCTGTAACACTTGATGATATTTTATCACTTAAGGGCAAGGGACCAGATGGGGGCAGTGGATCTATGCAAGAGGTGACAGAAAGAAAAGTCAATGTTCTTCCCAGTAATTCCTGCAATGATGAGATGAAAGTAAAGGGCCTTTCACCAAAGTCCATAGATGTGTGGACTATCCATGATGATAAACAAATTAAAAAGGAAATGGATGAACACTCATTTGAAAATAAAGAACTGCCACAGAGTTCAAGCATAATGCAGTCCTCATCAAACCATTTTATAAATGCAAGAGGAGATTCCCCAGCATTTGAACCAAAATGCCCTTTACAACAAGTTCAGCCATTGGAGTTGGGAGATAAAGATAAGCTTGCAGGTGGACCTTGTCCTGTTACTCCTAAACAGGATGTCTCTATACCTCCAAAAGGATACTTTCCTTCTGGAAAAAAGAAAGGCCGCCCTGTTGGAAGTGTAAATAAACAGAAAAAACAGCTTCAACACCAGGCTCAACAGCTGGAAGAACAGCAGCCGGCTCTGCCAACTATTACAGGTGGGTTAACATCTCCTCTCCCTGTTCCTCCTCCACCAGAAATGCTGCCAATTTCAGAGCATGGATTGGAGTCTGAGCTTAAACCAAAAAGAAGACGTAGAGAGAGGAGAAAAGCAGCAAGACGAAGAGGAAGGCAGACTACCCCTATAGTTGCCCCCTTAGAACCAGAAATCAAATTAAAATATGCCAGCCAAACGATTGACAAAACTGAGACCAAAGCAAAGTCTTTCTTTCCTTATATACATGTGGAAAACAAAGAAGAATTAGGCTTGTCTTGTGTTATTATCAATGCAGAAGATGAAGAACAGCGCTGGAAAAAACTGACATCTGTACGCAAGGGCCAGAGGTCCACATCACAGCCTACTGAAAGTAAAGCTCTTCCAGTCTCAAGCTTTATGGTACAAGGACCAGTGGTTACAGAATCCTCATCAGTAGGACATCTTGTTTGTTGCTTTTGTGGCAAATGGGCTAACTACAAGAATCTTGGGGATGTGTTTGGTCCCTTTTACACCCAGGAATATGCATCTACACTATCTAAGAACCCACCACCCAAAAAATCTATCGAAACCCCTAAGAAAGTCAAAGTAAGGCACAAGGATGCTTCAGATGGCTCAAAAACTGATTCGGATGAAGAGGATGAACCTCAGCAAGCGAGGGAACAACGTAGCTTGCCTGCTCATCCTCGTTTTAAACGTCGAAATCGTTCAGGAGACTGTGCCTCATCTAGACATGCTGTACCATCACGCAGAAAGACCACTGACTCTTGTGAACTGAATTCTTTGGACTCTAGTGGAACATCAACTGCAGATGGAGTCTCTGACCAAAGTTTTCAGATTCCCCAACTACCTCTTGACAGCAATGAATTCTGGATGCATGAAGGATGTGTCCTCTGGGCCAATGGTGTCTATTTAGTCTGTGGCCGATTGTATGGTTTGCAGGAGGCTCTTGACATTGCCAGAGAAATGGTAAGTTGAGTAAAGTTTATTTTACTATTTTTTTTTTTTTTTTTATACATTTACTATTTTAAATGTACAGAACGTGTATGTGTGCATTTAAACAAAAACTTCAAATGCATTTTACATTATTTATTGTCTAACAGCCTGAATCTGACTTTAACTTCTTTCCACAGTCCCCCTGCTCAACAAATGTCAGGCTAGAAGCAGATGGGTTATGCTTTGGTAGCCAATCAGGGTTTTATTTGATTGCAGTTTTGTCTGCACTGGAGCTTGTTTAGGCTGTTTTGTAACTGGAATAATGTGGTTTAATAGTCCCAAAAAAAACAGGAAACCTAGGCAGCTGCAAAATGATAGTGAGGTCCCTGGCTATGTAGTCAAGATGTATGATTTTGAAAACTGGTTAAAAAAAAATGGATTTTATATTCATACATTACGGGACAATGGATGCTAATTCAAGAACATTGGGTTATGCTGCTTCCTACAGGAGATTTGAAATTGGCAGCCATATATTCCAATATAAGGATTTCACGGTCACAAATACTGTTATTTGACTGGTGAAAAAATGGTATGTATATACATATGTACAGTGGGTATAAAAAGTCTACACACCCCTGCTACAAGTTTTTGAGATGTAAAATAAAATCAGAGCAAGATCAATCACTTTTAATGTGACCTATAATCTGTACAATTTAATTTAAAATGTGAAATCTTTAAAGGGGGGGGGGGAACTAAAATATTTGCAATAATGTTGCATAAATATGCACACCCTTAAATGAATACTTTGTTGAAGCACCTTGATTTTATGACAGCATTCAGTCTTTTGGAGTTGGAATCTATCAGCATGGCACATCTTGCCTTGCCCACTCTTCCTTGCAAAAGCACGCCAAATCTGTCGGATTGCGAGGGCATCTCCTGTGTACAGCGCTCTTTAGGTCACCCCACAAATTTTCAGTTTAATTCAGGTCAGGGCTCTGGCCGGGATATTCCAAATCTTTAATCTTCCTCTAGTGAAGCCATTCTTTTGTTAATTTTGGTATTGGTATGCTTTGAGTCGTTGTGCTGAAAAGTGAAATTCCTTATCTTCTGCTTTTTAGCAGAGGCCTGATGGGTTTTGTGTCAAGATTGACTTGTATTTGAAACTGTTTTTATAAGTCCCTTCACCTTGACTAAAGCCCCAGTTCCAGCTGAAGAAAAACAACCCCAGAGCATATTGCTGCAGCCACCATGCTTCACTGTAGGTATGGTGTTCTTTCGTAATGCACAGTGTTCTTTTTGTGCCAAACATACTTTTTGTAATTATGGCCAAGAAGTTTACTCTTGGTCTCATTAGACCATAACACATTTTCTCACATGCTTTTGTCAGACTTGATGTAGGTTTTTGCGAAATGTAGCCGGGCTTGGATGTTTTTCTTAGTAAGAAAAGGCTTCCGTCTTGCCACCCTATCCCACACCACAGACGAAAGAATATGGGAGTTGTTGTCAGATGTAGTACACAACCAGTACTTGCCAGAAATTCCTGCAGCTCCTTTAATGTTGCAGTAGTCCTCTTCGCAGCCTTCCAGACCAGTTTTATTTTTGTTTTCCATCAATTTTGCAGTGCTGCGAGGGAGCATGGAGCTGGCTTTCCCGCCAATCAGGAAGCCGGGTGGTTTATGACCCCCCCCCCTCCTGGTTTGCTGATTAGTCAGGAAGCCAGACTGCCTACCAATAAGTGAAGCCGGCTTCCCGGCCAATCAAAAAAGCCGGGTAGTGGGTTATGACCTGCCGCCTATCTTCCTGACTGGCTGGGAAGCTGGCGTCACTTATTGGTGGCCAGCCTGGCTTCCTGATCAATCAGAAAGCCAGGCTGCCTCGCATCATGAAGCTGGCTTCCTAGCCAATAGGAGACGGAGGCGGGTCATGACATGCCGCCTGGCTTCCTGATTGGTCAGGAAGCAAGGCTGCTTTGAAACGGGAAATTGTTCTTTCGATAGAACATCAGCTTCCCAGGCAATCAGGGGCCCACATATGCCGGGATCGGTATTCGGTATTGGCAAGTACTGGAAAAAAATGTTTTATCCGTACTTGTACTCGATACCGAAAAAATTGGTATCGGTGCATCTCTAGATAAAGCACACTAAAATCGGTATCAGTACACACAAAGTACACTTCTGACTAAATCTAAAAGCTACAACTGTATTGAGTTAATTACATATTTGTACATTCACAATTGCGCCTTTTTGCAAAAAGGTAAAATAACAAAGGAACGCAAAATTGTAAATAAGCAACTTATGTTAAAAATCTGTGTTGTGATAATGCCTGATCTGCAGAGCCATTTGTGCGGTGTGCTAGTGTGGGGAATAAATGATGCAGGCGTACATTTAATCGCAACACAGCGTATCACAACGCTTGGCAATGTGTCGCAATGCGCTGCCACACAGTTAAATGAATGTTATTTTAAAAAGAAAAAACTGCATGTGCATGGCATACACCACAACATGGTGCACGTGTATGTGTGTGTGTGTGGTGGTGGTGGCGGCCCCTGTTCTGAATGAATAGAAATCACTCCGTACAGAGGCTTCCTATTGACTCACAAACTGAAGATAGTAAATAGTTGTTAATTGACAGAAGCCTCTGTAGTGAGCTGTGTCTATCCATTCAGAAACTCATGAATGAACAAAGTGATGAAAAGCAGCTATACATCAGTTCCTGATGTAAAGCTGATGACCTTTTAATTGTCAGGGGACCTTTCTGATATGTTTACAGGAGTAAGGTGAAAGCTACCGGCGTAGCAGGGAAAAGGTTAAACAGAGATGAACAGAGAACTTATTACAAAAGAAAAAAATGCAGCGGGAAAAAAAACCCTCAAGCATTGTAAAGACCAAAATAAGAACATACAAACAGTAGCGAAACATTAGGGGAATAATGGCATATAGGGATGAAATTCTGTTTATGACAAGGAGTCACCAAAAAAGCATACTACGTTGAGGGAAAGGAAACCCATACGCCCTGTAGAAGAGAAGGGTGGATGAATGGCAGAGAGGAAAGGGGGGAAAAAAAAGGGGGGGTAAGGTAGGTTGGGAGAGGGGGATGAAAGGAGCCAGTAGAAGCGAGAAAACAATAGGGAGAAGGCAAGGAGGGAATCTCAACAAGTACACAGAGTGCGATATGCCTCCGAAAGAAGTAACTCGTTCCAATAAAACCATGTTGTACCAAGCTTGGAGGAGGTGCCTTTGATTGAACTAGTGAGGCCCTCCATATGCTTAATATTGTTGATTTTGTGAAACCACAGCATAATTGTTGGGGTGGATGTACATTTCCACAGAGCAGAGATATAAGCTTGAGCAGCACTCGACAAGTAAATGACCACTGAGCGCCTGTATTCTTAAGGCCAGGTTCCCACCTACGCGATTGAGCTGTTTTCGCACATTTTTGTTTGTGCGTTTTTGCATTGAAAACCGCATTGTTGTCAGTTTTTTATTGTATAGAGAGGTCTACTGCATGACACATCGCAAAGGTGTGGATAGCTTCCATAGACTTGAATGCAAATCTCTATATTGTGTGACATCGCAGGGCCAAATCTGCGCGATAAATCGCCTACATGTGAACCTTGGCTCCAGGGAGTAAGTACTGTGGTGAAGTAAAAAAAAGAATGGAAGGGTCCAAATGAATCTCCTGGTCCATAAATGATTGAGTAATGGTGCGTTCCTGAGACCAAAAATCCTGTAGTACAGGACCAAAAAAAGTGGTTTATATCAGTGGGGGAGGAACCACAGCGCCAGCAGTTATCTGAAGAGTCAAGGAAAATCTTATGGAGCACATGGGGAGTCCTGTACCACGTAGTCAATATTTTGTACCCTGATTCGTGTTGCAGATCAACGCTTTCAGAGAGTGTTTTAGTATCTTGGATTGTTTCAGGGAGAAGGAATGTTCAGTTCTTGGTAATGCAACTGTTTTCTCCACTGTTGATGACAGTCTTCACTGTGTTCCATGGTATATGTAATGTTTTGGAATTTTTTTTTAACCCTTCTCCTGACTGATGCCTTCCAACAATGAGATCTCTTTGATGCTTTGTAAGCTCTTTCTATTTGACAATGACATTTGCTGTAAGAATCAACTGAGTAAATGTCAGAAAAATCCTACCCATGTAGGCCGATCCAATAAAAGAGCTACTGTAGCTCAAATTGATGAAAAAGTTGATGCTGGTTCTGATGGACAGGAGTCTTAACCACCTCAGGGCCGGCCGAGAGGTCACTAGATCTGAGCGGGCGTCTTTAGGCAACCGTCAGCCACGCCCACCTGCGCGCACCGTAGGGCGTGCGCGAGCAGGAAACACCGGCGATTTATAAACAGGCACCGATGCCTGTTAACATACAAGCGATCCGCCGGCTACAGAACCGGGGGATCGCTTGTATGAGCTGCCGACCCATGTCCTTCCTACGCGCCCCCCTCCTGTTGTCACGCCGGTCCCGGGCTCCGCTGTGCCCGGTGCGAGCCCGGGACCAGCATACGGCCTCTGTCACGGGATCAGATGTTGTTTACCTGGGGAAGAGATGGCACCAGGATGCACTATGGGAATAAGGCAAGTCTGCAGAAGCAGTGTGATGCTTTGGGCAATGTTCTGGGAAACCTTGCGTCCTGCCATTCATGTAGATGTTATTTTGACACGTATCACCTACCTAAACATTGTTGCTTGTCAAGTACACCCCTTTATTGAAACTGTATTCCCTAATGGAAGTGGCCTCTCAGCAGGATAATATGCGCTGCCACACTGCAAAATATGGTTCAAGAATGGTTTGAGGAACACAACAAGTTTGAGGTGTTGACATGGTCCCCAAATTCTCAGTCTCAATCCAATCAAGCATCTTTGGGATGCGCTGGAAAAAAAAGTCTGATCCATGAAGGGACCACCTCTCACCTCTAAAGGACATAAAGGATCTGCTCCTGACGGGTTGGTGCCAGATACCACAGCATACCTTCAGATATCTAGTAGAGTCCATGCCTTGATGGGTACCAGCAACTCCATTGTG